ATATTGCTTTATTATTTCTTATTTTACTTCATTTATTTGTTTCATTTTGGAATTTTATTTTTTATTTTATTCATTTTATTTTATTTTATATTTATTTTATCTTATATTTTATTTTATTCATTTTATATTGCTTTATTATTTCTTATTTTACTTCATTTATTTTTTATTTTGGAATTTTATTTTTTATTTTATTCATTTTATTTTATTATTTTATATTTTGTTTTATATTTATTTCATTTTATTTATTTTATATTTTACTTCATTTATTTTATTTTGGATTGTTTAAATTATTTTATTATGTTTTATATTTATTTTATCTTATTATTTTATATTTTATTTTATTTATTTTATATTGCTTTATTATTTCTTATTTTACTTCATTTATTTTTTATTTTGGAATTTTATTTTTTATTTTATTCATTTTATTTTATTATTTTATATTTATTTTATCTTATTATTTTATATTTTATTTTATCTTATTATTTTATATTTTATTTTATTTATTTTATATTGCTTTATTATTTCTTATTTTATTTTATATTTATTTTATCTTATGTTTTATATTTTATTTTTTATTTTTTTATATTGCTTTATTATTTTATATTTTACTTCATTTATTTGTTTTGTTTTATTTTTTATTTTGTTTTACTTTATTATTATTTTATTACTTATTACTTTTGTTTGCCGCCTCTCTCACAAGTTCGGGCTTCTCCACACTTAACCTGACCAAACCTGAGGTACTCCGTCAACCAGCCCTGTTTACGGTCATTTACAACATCCCGTAGTCACGGGATTTCATTTTATGACCCTTTTTTCTGAAATCCGGCACTTAACTTGTTTGCTATGGGAAAACCCCACCACAACAAACAAAGGGTTCCCCCCCTTAAGACTGTGAGGTTTGCTTAACGGCTACGTTTGCTTAATTACTCCGCAAAAAAAGGTCGTAAAATCGTCTCTTTTCCAGGGAAACGATTTGGAGGCTGAATTAGAAAACGCGGCTCATTATATGAAGTTCGCAGCGGCTGCGTACGGCTGGCCCTATTATGTCCTGCTGAATCCTTTCACGGGTCTCTGCAAGCTCAGAGGCTTCTGGTAGGTCCACTTAACCTTCTTAAAGAGCGGGATGTGTGCAGATGTTACAAGGTTGCGTGTGACGTGAGAGAATCTGGTGGTTGGAGAATTGCAAAACTGAGAGGATTAAGTGTGTGAAAAGTAATTTCTGCCTCACAGAATCCTTAATACTAAATGACCTTTTCTAGGGTTTCAAATCTTGGTTTTTATTTTTAATCATTGTAATGTTTTTGAAGGGGACAAGCTCAGTGGCTGAGCTTGTCGATCAGAAAGGTCGGCAGTTCGGCAGTTCGAATCCCTAGCGCCACCTAATGGAATCAGCTCCCATGACTTGTCCCAGCTTCTGCCAACCTAGCAGTTTGAAAGCACGTAAAAAATGCAAGTAGAAAAATAGGAGCCACCTTTGGTGGGAAGGTAACAACATTCTGTGTGCCTTCGGCGTTGAGTCATGCCGGCCACATGACCACAGTGACGTCTTCGGACAGCGCTGGCTCTTTGGCTTTGAAACGGAGATGAGCACTGCCCCCTAGAGTCGGGAATGACTAGCACATACGTATGTGTGAGGGGCACCTTTATCTAATGTTTTTGAAATTTTAATTTCAAGTTGTTTCTTAAAACCGACGTGTTCTGTAGCTTAAAAACCTTGAAGTTATCCTTCTGTGCTGCTTAGCACAAATGACCTTCTCGCACTGTTCTAATCCCAACAGTGCTTTTTGTCAAGAGGCCACTGGACTTTCTTGGTTTTTCCCTTGAAGACGTTTTGATTCTCATCCAAGAGGCTTCTTTCGTTCTGATTGAAGCTTNAAGGCCACAGGTGGAGGATGAATGGCCCCTCCCAGAGGGAATAAAAGAGGAGCAAAAGGGGAGTGGAGTTTGCAGGAGACCATTAGTTCGATTCATTGGTTCGTGACTCTCTGAGGCTCCTTGTCAAGTTCGGGAGATCGGGCCTGGCAGCTCTCCAAGCCAGATAAGGTCTGTGACTGTAAATCCTCCCTCGAAAGACTTTGCTGGATGTGAATGAGCAGAATTCACTGTCAATTAAATAAAATGGGTTTATCGGGACGAGGACTCGGCTTCGTGCTGCTGGGGAAGCCTCGGTCAAAACAAGGACTTGGATTTTACGGCCTTTCTCCTCTCCTTCTTCCCGTCAGCTGGGCGATCATAATCTTCACGTTGGTAGCTGTTTTCATTTTTTTTGACCCTCTCGGGAGGAAGACAGTCTACCTGGCTGACTGCGCCAGTCGCAATCTGGAAAGCAGCCAGTCGGAGCAGCTGTTCTTCAACATCAAGAAGAGGGCCACACGAGTCTGGGAAAAGAGGATCCGTCTGTTGTGTTGCTGCATCATGCAAAACGACGATCACCGCGTGGCTTTTACGAGCATCGCCGAACTTTTCCGTTCCTACTTCTCGGTAAGAGGTCGAGAGTCGTATTGTGCGTCGTTTTGCCTTTATGCCGTCTTCGCGACTCTGGGAGAAGCCTAGGTCGAAACGCCCTCTCTCTCTCTCTCTCTCTCTCTCTTTCTGCAGGACACTGACTTAGTGCCGAGCGACATAGCAGCCGGCCTGACTCTGCTCCACCAGCAACAAGATAAGGTTGAAAATTCAAAAGACCCCGCCGAAGTTTTAATTCAGCCCCCATCGCCTCCAGAGGTAAGTCTGTCGCGCCTGTTACAAGGAAGGTTGCCGCCAGTGCCGTTTGTAACTGCCCACACCCGCCTGTTTGATGAAATCACAACAGAGATCCTTTTAGGCTACTTAGGCCCCAGGTTTTTTTAAGCAGTTAAAAAAAAAAATTAAATTTAATTTTATTACTTTATTCATTTTATTTTATTCATTTTATTTTATTATTTTATATTTTATTTTATATTTTATTTTATATTTTATTTTATATTTTATTTTTTTATTATTTTATTTTATATTTTATTATTTTATTTTATATTTTATTATTTTATTTTATTTTATATTTTATTATTTTATTTTATATTTTATTTTTTATTTTATTTTATTTATTTTATATAGCTTTATTATTTTATATAGCTTTATTATTTTATAT